ATACTTTCTTTGACAACACACTAAAGGAGAACCAGTAATAGAGCTTAAATTTTTCATTTTACTAATAAGAAGTATGTCATAAGATTAGGTATGGAATCTAGAACAATAGACTCCTGGTCAGTGTTCTTGTAACTGTTTGAAATCTTCAGACCATATCACACAGATCATTAGTCATGATAATTATAAATTAGCTTAAGAAACTTCACAGTCCCATTTTCAATCACAGAACCATGTGGCAATTATTCTAAGGGCCTTAGCTTATGGCGACACCTCCCCTTGGTAACATGAAGGGACACAATGAAATTTGTGACCCAGAATAGTTGCATAGTGGATGAGATTTGTGTTCTCTTCTTCATTTCTCAGAATACTGTAGTGCTATTGGCACACACAAAAAAATAGCCCCCAATATACCATGAGTTACACAGAACTGATCCCTTCCTTTCTTTTTAAGGACTAAAACCAGCGGTGGAGGCTTTCTTCATAATGTCCTTTACCCTCATGATGGTGGCTTTTTCATCCATTTCCTTGGCACTGGCCATAGGTGCAGGTAATAGTGACACAACTACAGCAACACGTATTGCAGACATCTATTTTATATTTATGATGGTGAGTGTGTACTGTTCTTCTCTGGGACACAATTTTTCCCCTTGCTTATGCTTGTAACTTCTTGTCATGTAAGCCAGCTGCAGTATTCTGTGTTTGTGATTTTGAGGCTTTTAGGAGGTCACAGACTGAAATATGGTCCATTTTTTTTTGTTTATAATGTAGTTACTTAAGCACCATGACCTCACTAATGTAATTTTAAAAGAGATTTCTTTCTGACATATTATGAAGCCTTTGATAAACTGGAACTTCCAAAACCAGAATAATAGGCTGATTCCCTCACAAAAGTCACCAGGCTCTCTGCCTGCCTTTCATGCTGGTGTTAGAGAACTGCCAGCTGTTTTACCAGCAAGGTGGTTTGGTGTTGGATTCATTACTCTCCAATGTGAAGGTTTCATGAGAAGTGTAATAGGGATCTAGCTTGGATATTTTCTGTACCTGTGGGTCTAGCTTGGATATTTTCTGTACCTGTGGGTCTAGCTTGGATATCTTTATAACAGGGAGTCTAGATGGACACCTCTTGCATTTTGATAATGTTTTAAAATTACTGGAAAAGTATAAAGTCCATAGTAGTAGCTCTTGTCTGGTTTCCTGAAAATCTCTTATAACCATGTATTTCTGTTTCATCTTTTCAAAATCATAGTTATTAATTCTTAATCTTTCTTGCCCCTAAAATTTGTACTCACATAAATGAATCAATAGATAAACAGAACCTATTACCTCAGTTTCCCCCTTACAACATCAGCTAAACAAACACGTTCAGCCTACAATAGGAAGAGATGTCTTTCAGTGACACATATGTAGCACATATACTTTAAACACATTTTTTATTAGTGTGGTTATCCATATAGTTATCCATAATGTCAGGGTTTGACATAATCATTCAGGCTTAGCTAGCACATACTCTTGCCAAAGTTTAGTTCTTTGCTTTCTGAATTTCAAATCTACCAATGTATACCATTGAGAAAGTGATATTTCTATTTCATTTGCTATAAAGAAAATGTCCTTCAATAAATAAAGATGTTTTGTTTGATTTATTTGATATATGATTGTTATTTAAAGGTTTCTATGTAGAAATTTAAAAATGCAAAAATTGCTTTTCACCCAGAGAAAGGTCAAGGGTGGCATATGCAGGCACAACGCAGCTCTGTCATTGCTGTGCATATTCTAACCTCCCTTGCGTCAGTTGGGTCATGTGTTGTGTGGGTCTCTTAGCTGCCTCTCATTCATCTCCAGCATTTCTTCCTGAGTCAGCATTGCAATACTGCTTACTCATAGCTTTAAACGAAGGGGTTTACCACATTTTCTTCTACTATACCACCTTAGGCCATTTGTCAGTTCTAGGATTTGGGAAATCTGAAGCCTGCATTCTTAAACCCAAATTCTTAACATCATGGATACAAAATACAAACTCTTGTAAACGACAAATCTTGTTGCTGTTTGGAAGTAGAGAGGAATACAGAATGCTCAGGAATGTCCCTCTATCTATTCCTAGTTTTTCGGGATTATTAGGTGGGGGGAACATGGTAATGGTATAATAAAAAGAGTCAGGAGTCAGCTCATTGTGTCTGTGAGTTCTGCATTGGAAGATTCAACCAACCACAGATGAAAAACATACAAAACAAGAATTATGTCTCTACTGAATATGAATAATAGCTTTTAGTCATTATTCCCTAAACTATAACATATACATGGTTACATGCATATGGTATAAGCTACATATGTAGCATTTATATGGTATTTGGTATTATAAGAATCATGGAGATGATTTAAAATATAAAATATGTTCATAAAGCATAAAGGATTTACTTTGGGTTCCATATTTTTAAAATATGATGCTATTTTGAAATAAAGAGATTTGAACATCTGCAGATTTTGGTTTCTCTGTGTGGGTCCTGGCACAAGTCTCCTTTGAA